GGGATGGTTTGGGATCACTCAGGACTGTGGGAGGGATGGTTTGGGATCACTCAGGACTGTGGGAGGGATGGTTTGGGACGCTCTGGGACGCTCTGGGGTCATTGGGGTGCTCGGGGGTCACGGGGCTCTCACGGAACATGGTCTCCAGGCGCACGAGGCAGCAGACGAAGCTGTCGAAGTCCAGGGCCAGGTCGGGCTCGGCGTAGCGGGTGATGAGCAGCTCGTGCAGCCTCTTGCTCAGCCGGTAGCCTGGGCCAGGGTACAGCCCGGGGGTCACCCGGGGGTCCCGGGGCAGGGGAGGGTCCCGGGGGTCCCTGGGGGTCACCTGCAGCCTCCAGCGCCAGGCGCAGCTCGTAGGCACTGATGGAGCCTGACTTGTCCAGGTCAAACTTGCGGAAGATGCTCTGGCAGGAACAGCCCCCCAAGGGGCAGGGGTCACCCAAAACACCCCAAAATCCCCCCCAAAAGAACAGAGGTCACCCAAAACACCCCCATGTGCCCCAAAATTCTCCCCTCAAAGGAGCAGGGGTCACCCAAAACACCTCCCTGTACCCCAAAATCCCCCCCAAGTGGAGACCACCCACAAAAAAAGATGCCAAAACCTTCACCGCACACCCCAGCACCCTCAAAAAAGTAGGGAAAAGAGTGTGAGGGGGGGGTCTCAAATCAGGAGGGAGACCCCAAATTGCCCAGAAGCGAGGAGAGCCCCCAGACCCACCAGGAACAGGAGAGCCCCCAGACCCACCAGGAGAATCTGCAGACCCCCCAGGAGCCGGGAGAGCCCCCAGACCCACCAGGAACAGGAGAGCCCCCAGACCCACCAGGAGCCGGGAGAGCCCCCAGACCCACCAGGAGATCCCCCAGACCCACCAGGAGAGCCCCCAGACCCACCAGGTAGTTGCGGATCCGGTTCCAGAGGACGTTGAACTCCACCAGGCCCAGTTTCCCGTTCCCGTCTTTCTGGGGGAGGGGGGTTAAGGAAAGGGGGGCTCCAGGGGTCCCCCCAGAGCCCCCCCGGCCCACAGGCACAGGATACGTCCATCAGGTTCACCATGCTGCGGCAGGACTCGATGCTGAAGCCCTTGGTGCGCAGGTCTTTGTCTGCCATGGGGAATTTCGGGGGTTAACGAGGGTTGGGGTGTTAATGAGGGACAGGGTGTTAATTGGGGGAAGGAATCCCGGCTCACGTTTGGCGATGATGCGGTTGAGGATGGTCTGCAGCTCGGTGACGCTGATCTCCAGGTCCTGGGGAGGGGACAGGGGGCGGCCCCGGTGTCACTGCCGAGCAATGACGTCACGGCCGAGCAGTGACGTCACGGCCGAGCAGTGATGTCATCGGCAACCAGTGATGTCATCGGTAACCAGTGATGTCACGGCCGAGCAGTGACGTCATCGGTAACCAGTGATGTCACGGCCGAGCAGTGACGTCACCACCAACCACTGACATCACTGCCAAACAAGGACGTCGTAGCCAACCATTGACGTCATGGCCAACCAATAACATAATCTACAACCAATGATGTCACTGCCAACCAAAAACGTCATGGCCAACAAATGATGTAATAGCCAACCAATGATGGAATTGCCAGCCAATTATGGAATTGCCAACCAATTATGGAATTGCCAACCAATTATGGAATTGCCAACCAATGATGGAATTGCCAACCAACTACACCATCACCAACGACGATGCCATCGCTACCCAACGACATCACGGCCAACCAGCCATGGAATTGCCAACCAGTGACATCGCCACCAGCCCTCACCGCTCCCTTACCGGCCCCGCCAGCTGCCTGAAGAGCTGCTTGAAGTTCTCATCGATTTCGCTCTCGCCCAGCACTTTCTGGGGGGAAAAGCGGAGGTTTTGGTAACCGCCCCGCCCCGGCGCCCCGCCGGCCCGTCCCCGCGGCCCCGGCTGACCTCGTCCGGCAGCGTGGCCTGGATCTTGTCGTCCATCTCCCTGCGGACAGACACAGCGCGGGCTGAGCGCGGGCGCGGCGCGGGCTGGCCGGCGCTGCCGCAGCGACGCTTACTCGGTGCCGGCTCTCTTCTCGGAGAAGACGCGGAGCACGAAGTCGCCCTCCTTGTTGGGCTCGAAGGTGGAGGGCACCACGATGTACTCGCCGGGCGGCAGCCGGAAGCGCGTGCTCACCTCGCGCAGGTTGATGAACTGCTCGGAGCGCGCGCGCGAGGCGTTGGCCAGGAAGAACTCCCGCTTCAGGTGCACGCCCGACCTCCCCACGTACTGCGGGCACCGGGGGAAACGCTCCAGAGCCGCCCCAAAAACACCCGCGGGGGCGGCCTGCCCCGACCGGCGCCGCGCCGGACCGGCGCCGCCGGCGCGTGGCACCCACCTCGGGAGGGACCTGCGGAGAGACGGGACACCGGGCACCGCGGTCGGTGACAGCTGACACCAGGCAACCACAGCTGGCCCTGACTGAGCCCAGCTGGCCCCGCTACCTCATAGACAGCGAAGCCAATGGTCTCCATGTCCTTGCCGTAGCGGCGCTCGCGGCGCCGGTGCTTCTGCATCAGCGCCAGCAGGAAGCTGCAGCCCGGCTCCCGCCCGCCGTCCTCGTCCCGGTCATCGTCCACCTCCTCCAGCTGGATCTTGAACTGGGGGTTGATCCAGAACGTGGCTGCAAAGGGGGCACAGGGGGCTCAGCGGGCGCCCGGCCCGGCGGGCCCGGGGCCGGCCCCGGCGCGTACCGGGGTAGTTGCGGCAGCCGCCGGCGGTGCTGCCGCGCCGCCACGTCCCGTCGTAGAGCCGCGTGTTCCACTTGCGGAACTTGCGGGACTGCAGCGCGTCCGGGGTGAGGTTGCAGATCTCCAGGCGGGTGAATTCCCGCAGGAAATCCCGGAAGGACATCCTGCAGGAAGAGTTTGTTTGCCCTCATTTCGGGGCTCGAAAGGGCCGGGAAAAGGGGTTTGAGTTGAACTTCTCCTACCAGAATTCCCCATCCTCCATCTTGACCATGAGCTGCTGGCGCAGCGCTGGCTCCACCGCGTGCCACTCGGCCGAGCTGCGGGGACAGCGGGGTCAGCGGGGCGCTGGCTCATTAGCGCTAATGAGCTCGGCGCTAACGAAGCCTCACCCGTCGCTCCAGGCGCCCGTCCACTCCACCTCTCCCCAGGGATTGCGCATCCGGATCAGCTCCAGGGCCTGCCCGCGGTACGGGATCTGCCGACGGCGCCGTCAGGGCTCCACCACCCAAAATCCACCCTTTTTCCCCCAAACCGCCGTCCGCCCTCACCTGCTTGGCGCCAGTCACCGAGTAGGCGTGGCCCTTCACCAGCTTCTTGAAGGTCACCGCCTCCATGTCGAAGGCGCTGGTTATCTGCAGGGAGCCAGCGCAGCGTTAGGCAGGGAGCGCCCCAAATCCCGCCGGTTTTGCCCCGAAACGCCGGGGGTGACTCACGTCGATGGAGCAGCCGAGCAGGGAGCCGCGCTCCAGCGCCTTGAGGATGATCTGGTAGAGGTCGGCCGGGGGCCGGCGCAGGTCGAACCACTCGGTGACGCCGCCCGTGAAGTCCTCGAAGCCCTCGGAGGTGCTGCCGCCCGACAGCGCCTCGTAGCAGCCGTTCACCCTGCGCGGCAGCCGGGGTGGTTTTTGGGGGGTTCTGCCCCAAAAAGGGGCGCGGGGAGCGGGGAGGGGCCGTACTTGGCATAGGCCTTTTCCAGCAGCGCGCTCCAGAACTCGGAGCCCTCGGCCGAGTGCACGAAGAGCAGCTTCCCGTCCTTGGTGGGCAGGAAATCGTCCACCACCACGTCCAGCCACTCGCCAAACTGCCAGATCTGGGGGCACAAGGAGGAGGGAGCCCCCTGCTTCATCCAGGGAAGGATATTTTGGGGGGAAAACGCCCAGTTTGGGGTCCCACAAGGCAGCGGGGAAGTGGAGTTGCCATCATGGAATTGGACACGAGGAACTGGGTGGGGAAAGGACACAAAGTACTGGGGGACCCTCCCAAAATTAGGGGTGTGACCAGAATGGTGGAGGTAATCCTCAAAACGCTGGGGGGTCACCCCAAATTTGCAGAGTGGAGCCCCAAAACTGTGGGAATTCCCCTCGAAATAGTCAAGGGGAGGCCTAAAAAGGTGAAGGAAGCCCTAAAATGGCGTGGGAACCTCAGAATGACAAGAGGAGACCTGAAGTGATGGTGGGAGCCCCCAAAACGTTGGGATTTGCACTCAGAACGGCAGAAGGGAGCCCCGAGCCCGGGCTTTGCTGACCTGGAAGTGGAAGATGCCGGCGTAGCCCTGCTGGAAGCTCTGCCCGTGCGGCACCACGCGGTGCAGGAGGGTCTCGTTGAGCGTCAGCGAGGCGATGGCCGCCAGCAGCCAACAGTCACCTGGACAGAGCCAAAAACGCCAAACCGTTGGCCGAGCCGCCCCCCAAACCGCCCAGAGCCGGGGCGGAGAGCGAGGATCCCTCACCCAGCGCTCCCTGGCAGATGTCGGTGCGCGTGGCGCCGTCCACGATGAACTGCGGGCGCGGGCACAGCTCCTGCGGGAAAGCCGAAATCAGGGAATGCTCCCGCGCTCCCACGGGACTTTTCGGGGGGCGCGGGGACGGAGCCGGGCTCACCGTGGGCCTCTTCCACTGCACGCCGCGCGTTTTGGAGGAGCCGGGGCCCAGCTCGCGGAAGCCGAGGGAGGCGGCGGCCGGGGGGAAGGAGGGGTCCCGGAACAGGGTCCCGGAGCGCCGGCACTCCTCGGCCAGCTGCCCGAAATCCTGGCCCAGGTAGCGCACGGCGTTGTCGTGCCGGCCCAGCCCCAGCTCCTTGGCCCGCTGGCGCCGCACCTGCGCCGAGACGCCGGTGCAGAACACCGGCACCACGGGCGGCTCCGCCATCCTGAGGGACCGCAGGGGCAAAAAACGGGGCTGAGACGGGCGGTCTGCACGGGGACGGGGAGGTTGGGGTTTTTGGGGGGGGGATTTGGGGTTTTGGGTGTGGAACAGGAAAAACACACTCGGGATTCAGGGAAAAACAGGGCTGAGATGGGCGGTCTGCATGGGGACGGGGAGGTTGGGGTTTTTGGGGGGGGATTTGGGGTTTTGGGTGTGGAACAGGAAACACACACTCGGGATTCAGGGAAAAATGGGGATGAGACGGGCGGTCTGCATGGGGAGGG